AAAAAAAAAAAAAAAAAAAAAAAAAGAAAATTCAAGAAGCAATTAAAAGTAATTAGCGTAGGTTTTGGTCTAAGTTTTATTTTATAAACACTCTTAAGGGGAAGAGGCCCGGAAGGGCGCCTCGGGCATAAGGCGAGGTTTTATTGTTCTTTTTATACCCAAACCCAAGGGAATATGTCTTCTTTTATTCGCATAGACGACTATGAAAGTTATGAAAAACTGAATAACGGTTTCACTACCCTCAACCAACACTCTAATAAAAGAGTTCCAGACAAAGTTTCTGCTCCTAATGATATTATATCTCACGTTCCTTCAACTCCTTTTTGCACCTCTACTAGTAAAATACCTTCTACTCATATTTCGTCTTCTCATTCTCCGGTGGGAAAATTTCCGTTGAAAGTTTTTTTTTCCAAATTTCACGTGACCCGTCCATATCGGGCTGGATATAACAAGATTTATGAAATCAGACGATCAAGAAGTTACTTTTTCGAGTTAGATGATCTACCTCCAAACACCAATGATCTTCATTTTAAAATTTACACAAATGATTATCATATGAAAAGTACCCCTATCTCTTATCGCAACACGAGCTCAACGCCGAATGACATAGTTGTATGCTTACACACTTTTTTTCTTCACAAAGAGTTTTACCTCGCAAAATACAACAAAAATTTTTCCCTTTTATACGAGATAGATTATTGGCTCGAAAAGAAATGATTTCATCACGTGCTAATAGTTCACGTGAGCGTAATACTACGATGCGTACTTTTTTCAACTTTACTTATAAGAAATATCGTTTTTATTTTGGAATATATATCCCTTGTTCTCAACAACAATCACTGTCACCATTTTATCCTTTGTGTGAAGAATGTCATGTTCCTAGCCCCTTTGTTATGTCTCATTGCAGACGTGCATGTGTTATGCACCAACCGTCTTTCTTTCGTAATGACACTTTCAATAATGTCTGAAAACAAGGACATCAGGCCATCACCTCAACTACTATAGTTCTGGCCAATAACAAAGGCTCACATGCTAATCTTTTACATGATAGATGGAACTGCAGAAAGAAAAAAGCTATTATATCCCAACGACTGGGTATCAGTTATAAGGAATCTTATCTTGCTCGTACCAAAGGTTCGGTAATACATCATGCAAATAAGCATATGTATCGTAAACGGCTGGACACCTTCTCAATCACTCAAAGTAAGAATATTAAAACAGCGAAAAGACAGGAAATACGATTCCGTAGGGCATGTAGATGAATCTTTCATGCCAAAGAACATAATCGCCTTGATACAATGAGGCATAGACTCATCACCGCTCAACGCTACCGCTTTTTATTTTTACCTTCACAATATATCTACAAGCCGATTAAGCATCTTCAATACACCCATGGTATTGACTATCCTGACTATGGATTTAAAATTCCTTATAATCAAGACGCTTTTAACATTCCAATTCACACGGTGGAACCGTATAACCCTACTCTGTCTGGGTTTTTTCCATCAAAATATAAGGATATTATTCCTAAAGAACCGATTTATACCGCTACAGGTGACTTTATTATTCCTGGATCTCGCGAATGGTTTACCCATATGTATAGGTTGGATTGTGCACGTAAAGCTGCGCCTCCCTCTCCAGTATTATCTCTTGATGAACGTAGAAATTTACTTCAAAAAGAAGCCGACCACATCGGTGACTCAATTATCGAAAAAGAAAAGCAGTGATCAGCCCTACACGGCACGACTGTTAAACATTTTGCTCGTCGCGACCGAGCTAAAAAATGGCACTCTTTAAGATCTGACTACTATCACCAATATATGTCCAAACAAGCTTCCTTATACCATAGGGCGGAAGATAATAGTAAGTTTCAACTTCGACTTCACCAAGAAATGACCGCTTTCAACGATACCTTTAATCTTGGCAAACGCATTGCCGTTGTTACACCTGAGACAAAAGATGAACTTTACATACCTTACCAATATGGAGGGTTTTATATTGATAATCCTTCGCAAGAAGATTCAAAGTGCGTCACTTCTGATGATTCCAAAGAAATTGAAAGACGTCCGTATAAACGTCTTACCACATCACAGTTCGCTCCGCTACCCGTGAATAATCATATTGATCGCTTAAAACGAAGGCGTAACATTCCTGCTGATACTGTCGACTCTTCAGAAGCAGGTCCTTCAGGTTCCTCTACTAACAATTAACTTTTACAATAGCTTTAGAGTCAATTATTTTCATTTTTACATATAGTTTTCTTTATTTGTATACAGCTATCATGCTTTTAGTACTCCTTTAATCTTATTTAGATAACAATATAGAATAGTGTGAATCATTCCAACCATGACAGTATTTACGGTTGGTGGCCTTTGGGTCAAAAGAAAAATACGGATCTTTTTTTTAGATTGTTTTACTATTCTGGATGTCCTTTATCCTTACGTTGGTCGTAGTGGTAGGATAAGCTATGGCCCTTTTATATAATTAGAAGTTAGGGTCCTTCCTTGAGCTTTTATTAGTTCCTGGCGGGATGATGACAAGAATTAGGATCGTCTCCAATGGGAGTTTATCCTGCTTATTTGGCTGTCCGGCTTCACATAAAATAAAATAAAATAAAATAAAATGCTAGATCCAAATTTACCCTTTGTTCTTATCTTAAAATCAATATTATTCCTTAAATTAAAATTAAAATAGCAGTTGGAGGAGTATTTCTGGAACTTTCTCCCTATAAAAAAATTGGATACGTTTTTTATAAAGAATTTACA